CTCATTGTTTTCTGACCATTTATTTTATCAGATGTTTTTTACATATTGTTTGTTTACTGATAGTAATTCCTGCCTTGATCCGGATAGATTAACTCTCAATGATCTTGCTATTTGATTCTCACTTGGTTGTGTATATAGTTGTTGCTTAAGAAATAGTTGCTTGAGTCTCCAATTTGATTAAGCTCAAGCTTATATGTATAGGTTACATCATGATCACGTTCTGGATCCTGTGGCAAGGAAACAACCTGTACGTGATGAATCCTCTCACAAACAGCTTCAAAAGCACGTTGGCCAAATGGAAAACCTTGATCTCATACACGGTGTTCACAATGTTTTGTAAAGTGGCATTACAGGTAAATACAAAAGGATTAGCTGTTTTCCTGCACCTGCTTTATTGATCGTTATCGATTTTCAGCTCGTAGGTTGTGTGTTTCTGGAGTGGTTTTATGATAGCACTGGCATACATGAATCTATGAGGTGTACAGTTCGGCAGCTATTCAGGTAAGAGCTATAGCCATAGTCGACCCCCTTCTGCTTTACTCCGTTGCCGCTGTTTTCACGACAGCGTGCACGTATGTACATTAATATGGGCATTGATTTTACGCGTTTGTAATCTGCCCTACTATGTATTGTAACCGTCTATTGCAGTATTGTCTGTGTGAACTCAGTTGTACAAGCTCGTAAACTAATTGGAGCCGACCCGTTGTTCCCCAAAGGTAAGTTACGCATCGAATTCCTCTAAAACTGAAAAAAACACTGAATTTTAGAAACGGATTTGGATCGTATGTGCACGGTGATTCCGCAAGAAGCTCAAATAGGGTTCGATGCAATCGCTTTGGGATTCCTCGTGTTTCAACTTCGCGTCTTCCACTCGTGGTTCTTCCAGCATTGCATGGTAGAGTATCGATCGGAGATTATTCTAGCAAATAGGTCGGTGAAGAACTTTTATTCGATAAATTCGTTTCATTCGGTTTTTGCTATAAAAGAGCTTTTGCGGGTACTGAAATAGATGCTATGATCTTAAAGATACGGTACTAGCTCGATTACGATGTGAGTTGCGGGTTTTCTACTTTGTTTCGGGCTGAGTTTGGTCTTTCCTACTTTGGTTACCTATCCTATTGTGATGGTCAATGTTTGACAGAGGTGTTGGAGGAAGTTCGGGAAAAACACAGTGTGACTGACAGGGTTTTCTTTGTGATCTACGTGGCATGAAACAATCGTTGACTGAGGTAGAAATTGAGGATTTCTGAAGTTAAAGGCATTTTCAACCCGGAACGTGTGGGCGGAGAAGTGGAACAATGGGCCCTTCTGATTGGTGAAGCACCTCCTCTTTGCAAGTCCATTAGTGGATTGAATAGGTGTGAGTTGATGGAGCATGGTGTGTGGTATTTAGGTCCACAAATAGAGAGAAAAGATCGGTTGAGAACTATCAAAATCTCCTTACGCGCGTCTACTAGGAGGGAACTGCTAATTGCGCCTACAGAGGTCTCACTGCTTGGCTCCACCTCTACGTATTTTGCCATGTATTCACCAATGTTAGAGTTAGCCATGAGAATCCCTGTGAGGCGATAACGCAGCTAACGCATGCGATTGGTGCACAATGTGAATTTGGCAGGCTTTCTTTGGCGTTTTTTATCGTGCAGTGCAACTAATTATCACAATATTATTCATTTTCGGTGTGCAGTACGCACAACTATCAAAATTCCGTGTCGTATCGTAATGGGGCCGAGGCGATTTACGTTCGATTACGGGTTCTGATGCCTCATTAATACTCCGTTCGGTTCCCCCTCTGTCGGAGTCTTCCCATAAAGCGTGTGTTAAAAATTGGAGTTCAAAAAACCATGCAAGGACCACTGAGTTTTTCTTAGGTTTCTCTATATTGCCGCAGATTCAGTTCAGAATGTGTACTTCTCAGTTATTACAGAGTTAGAATCTTGAGTAATTCTGTCAAATTTTGTAGAGGAGCAGTGCTAAAGAATCAGCTGATTGAGAAAGAAATGAAAGAGCAGAATGAGCAACAAAAGGCGAAGTTCAACGAAATTCGTAAGAGGACCCAGGCAATTCGAGACAGGTACCCTTTTTCAGATCTGAGGAGAAAGCCACCTTGATCATGTGTCATGTGAAGGTTTCTTCATTTGTTTTTAGATACAATAAGCAGTTGGAGAAAGGCGAAGTTATTTTTGAACCACAGACCTATGCACACGGTATGTTCATTCTTAATTTATATGTACTTTCATTTTTAATTCTTAATTTTTTTCTATTTTTTTTTTCTTTTTCGGGTTCCTGGCGGGTTCCGTTTTTGTTCTTGTATTTGTTGTAACTTGAACTGGTTTTAACCTATAGTTTAGTCCAGTGTGGTTTTCGGTGATTTTCGTGAAAGCTTTGAGTTATACTAAGAGCGGTTTGTTACGGCTATGTGTTTATCTCTATCGGAAGAAAGGATTACTCGGCCACGAACAAGTTAACGTGACCTCGATATCAGTGCCATGGCCAGAAAGTCTCTTTCTAACCCATCTAAGGGTTGAAGAGCATCTTAAACTCAGGCTTAATTGGTATTCTTTGGTGTTTCCAAACCTTTCCGTCCTGATTGAGTTTTTTTTTGCTGAATCTGCCATTGTCTTTTGAACCTATCATTAGTGAACTAGTGCTTCCGATAGAACTCGTGATTTTACCGCTATCCAGGTGAGATGATTATTAAATTTGCGTTGAGGTGGTGGTATTTAACAGATAGAATTGGTAATAGAAGTACATATAGTAATTTATGTGTCAGTTAACCACGGTGAAGACGATGATGAGGACGAGGAACAGTTTTACTACCACTACGCGACGACGCCACCCGGTTCGATGTCCTCTGTTCGCAGCTTTGAGCTTCCAGTCACTTCTTTCGTTGCATCAAAAATCATGTCACACACACATCTTGACCACGTTATCCCTGCACTTCTCTTCTGTGCTCTTCTGAATGCTAAGATCATTCAGCTTTTCGAGTGGTATGATTGCTTGTAGTACTGGCTTCCGATTCTCCGTTGGCAGTCGGCCGATTTTGCTTCTTGAATAGAGGATCTTTTATTTGAGAACACCATCCACCTCAGAAGCAAATGAAGTGGGTGGTGGGCTCTAGTATGGAAGCGTTGGTGCTGAAGGAAACAAATACCAAGGAAAAGTCGTTAAGAATGCTCCTGAATAAGGCCCTAATTTTTATGCTAAGGTGTAAGAAGCGTACAGAAGAGAATGGAAGAGATTACGGTGAAGAAAAACCTGGTTGTCTTTACTGTGGAGCAGACGTCAAGTAGATAAGGAATTAAAGATACCAGCGAGGCGCAGACATCAGTGAAGCCATATTTGTTCTATGGTGATCCATGATGATAATGGGAGTCTTAATTCTATGTTATGAGCCCTTGACATGAATTTCGAGCGTTACAAGGGAACAAGCTCAACGCTTGCGAACCAGTCTACTTTACTTAATGGCAGAGTGTTCCAGTAAGCCAATCTTAGTTGGCTCTTTTGAAATTCACACGCATTT